AGTGTATGTATTAAGTTTTTGTTACGATTTAGAAAAAAGTGAGGACAGTATTTTCAGTCGTTTAAAGTCTGTCTTTTCATTTTGTCGTGTGGGCACCTGGTCATCCTTCTGTCGAATATTAGTCCCAAGTAACGTACTGTGTCGAGCTAGAACGACTTGGTTGTTTGGACTCAGGGGACCTCAAAACGTGTATTTCCGATAAAAACTCAGATAAAAAAATTTTCGCGATCGCAATATTTACCCTTACTATATTTACATATATACGTAAGTGAAGGTAAAATAATTAGATGTTTAAAAACAATTTCACAGAATGAATTTTCGGTATTTAGTAGCAAATTAGCGGTATATATATATTTCATAGCAAATTTAGTTATGTTTATAATAGTATCAAACACACTTTTCTGCGCCTTACCGATCGGTAATGCCATTCTTTTTTTTTCGAAAAAAGGTTTTCAGCCCATGTGCGGCTTCGCTATACAAGAGAATGCTAGAACGAGCAATGCTCTAACACGTTCGGCCATTACATTAAGCGATTCATATATTAATATATATTCATATATTAATTTATTATATAATATAATATATATATTATATAATATAATATATATTATGTAAAGAAGAATAAATATACTTTTTGCTAAAGGAATGTGACAAGCGTTCACTCCCAACCACTATGGTTAAACCACCACCCCAATAATGGGGTACCCGCGTTATAGAGGCTGCTAGCACCACGAGGGTCTACCGACCCCTGGGTCGACTCACTGCTGTCATAACACAATAAATAAATCATCTACCACAGTTGGACTCGAACCTGTACCCAGAATTTAGATTTCCAGAGACTTAGTCAGCTCTTCCATTACCAAAGTATTAAATGGAATGAAAGACAACAACAGAGTAAAATGATAAGTCTGAACTAATAAGATTAAAATGAATAAAAAATAAACCAAAAAAAATTAAAATTAATGGTAAGATATGTACAGAAGAAGTAAACCATAAATCTATAGGAAACGAACGAGATATTTGAGACAATTTTTACTTGGTATCAAATACTTCATTGACATAAATTTCATTATTAAATCATGCTCTATTAAAAGCAAACCACAATTTTTTAATTTTCAAATTAAATGGACAGAATTTTCATTAAAACCAAGATCAATATCAAATGATTGAATATTGGCTTTTCGAGAGGAATGGATTGCTGAAAAAAGGCCTATCATTAGGTACAAATTAAACCTAAAATGACAGAGTTGGGACAGTTTCTTTGAAAAGGTTTCTGGTTACAACAGAATGCATAGGCACAATTAAGTAAAACATAAAAATTATTATTATCATTATACTATAAATATATGAAGCGGGCAGAAAAGAGACATGTAGGAATTAGGATATAACTAGAAAATTGAAAAAAAAAATTACATAATACATTTATAAATATATTTATGGAAATAATTTTCCATTTGCATTCTTATAAATTTATGTGTCTTTTCAAGCTATATATTCATTTAAAGTAATATAACTTATGGAGTATCCATTTATCCACTGAAATTTGTTGAATATGGATGTTATATATACGTTGAAACATTTTTTTTTTTTTTTATATTTATAACCTTAACCATAAACCTTCCCCTGAAATATATTTTAATAACATTCAAGTCCCGACAACAGATGTAATTAGGTATTTAGGTTTTTACCTGGACAAAAGACTTACTTGGAAGACTCACATCAGACAAAAACGAATAGAATTAAACAGACGATACGGTCTTTTATCCAGATTACTTGACAGACGTTCAAAATTATCTTCTAACTAACAAACTAACCCTTTATAAATTCTTACATAAACCTATTTGGACTTACGACATAGAACTGTGGGGCTCTGCTAAAACTTTCCTTCAACTCGTGGTATTCATAATAGTCTATATCAGTTGTCCCTAGCTAATTGCTTTGATAACTTTGATAACATAGAAATTTAAACCTTTCCAGCTGATATCATATATAATCATTTTCCTTTAAGATTATTATATAGTTTTTAGTACTTTGTATTTCGTATATTTCAGTTAGGGAGACCGTTGAATATGATACCATGCAAGGTTTCTCTTACACATAACCCTAAGTACATTGCCTTCCTTAAGTGAACCATAAGTAAATTAGACGTATGATGTAACCTTCTATTGTCGAAGGTTCGAAGGTCGAAGGTCTTAAAAAAGGAAGAAATGAAAATCGCAAAATTGGCCTTCGGTAACAATGTATTAACTGATTTTTTAAAAGGAGTAAACATTAGCACATCAGTTAGTAGGAGTAGAGCACACATCAATGTTTACTATGCACTAATGTAATGCAGCTACGCAAGCATCTTACATATATTAAATAGTCTTTTCAATGATATAAAGAGGTTGTCATGACTCCTCTATTGATCCTCCATTGATATTGGTACTATGTCACAGTACTAGAACTTTTCTTTATCTATTTTAAGTTTAAATTTAACGTATTACGCAATATTTAATTTTTGATGTCACATTTTTGAGGTATTACAAATTTTCGAAAGTAACCATATTTGTGCAGGGTTTCAATTTCGAGGAACTTTTAATACATGGAGAAAGAGTGAAAATAAAAAAAATACTATCAAGAGTAATTGCTAACAACTGTTTTAATTTTATTTCCACTTTCACTGTTTTGTAAGAGAAAGAGAGTAATCCAATTTCTTTGGAGAAAGTGGATTCATGTTACACCGAAAATATATTCACATTTGACGGAAAAGATATCTAGAACATCCTTGAAGACAGAAAACAATTTGATTATGTTTGGACTCATTTACCATACGTTAGAATTTTATTCAGAATGAACAAAAAACGTCTGCCAAGTAAGGTCAGTAACAGCTTCCTTACCGTGCGTAAGCGGGAATGCTGAATGGAATTTGATAAAATTGATATTGGACCATCTAGGCTTCAATCCGCATAATCCCTGAAAATTTCATAAAAATCGGATGAACGGTACTAGGTGATATGCCCGTCACATCGATTTGACTATAGACAGACAGGCACCAAACCAAAGTTGATCCTTGATGTCCAAAACGAAAAACGCGAATAAAATTTTCTATTATGAGCACAAATTTTTTTTTAACCTCTCGCACGAACACAATGCTTTCCTACCTTCGGTAGTGAGGAAGCACAATATTTATATTTAAATTTGAAACATAAAAGTTTCAGGTAAGTCATTGTTAGCAATCACCCAGCAGGTATAGAGGGTAATAGCTGAATCTCGAGAAACCCTTTGATCCTATAGATATTATGTCTAGGCAGAAAAAGACTACGAGATTCAAATAAAAACAAATTTAGAAAACCTTTACTATTACAACTCATGAAGAATTCAGGGTTTAGTAATTTGTAAGGGCGTACTGGAACAGTTTTCGTGGGTCAAAATCACGTTCAATTACCAGGTAATCCCCTTAATTAATTATTTAATTAATAGTACTTTATGAAGGCTGGGTGTGCCCCAAGAAGGTCTCCTTATCCCAGGGTCGATCCATAGCTAAGGTACCAATAAACATGGTACTAATTAAGTGAATGTAAATGAGAAGCATTTATATAATTAATATCATACCTCGAAAAAAATTGTGTATAGGTCATAAATAAATCCATATTAGAAATAATAAATTATACAGTTTTGAATTCGCATCAAAGGGTTATTATGCTAGAGTGATCGATGTCATTCTAAAAACATCTGGTGTTTCCACTCATACGACTTTCCTACCTATTTCAGAAACGTTTTTATATCTTAACATATTTTCATGAAGAAACAAAAAAAAAAAAAAATTGAACTAGATTTATTTTCCTGCAAATTGATCAAAGACAAGATTTAAGTATGATCTAGTTGATAAACTAAAAAAATGTAATAATCTCTAATATTTCTGATCAAAAACTATTTGCCATTGCATAGTATTGTCAAACAATAATTTCTGTTAATAGTAGAGGAAATAGTGAAGCTTGAGTGATGCTGGCTACAGATTTTCTTACTCTCACTTAGCCATCTTTTTTCTCTCATTCACCCCTTTCTGACACCAGGATATGAACACGCAATCTTACATTGGAAATTGAGTAGCTGTCACTTCGTTAATAGCTGTCCAAAATGAACGATTTTTATATAGTTTTGTAGGGAATTTCACTACCTTTCAAAAAACACACTAAACGGCGTTTTTTATCGCATATCGAAAATTTGACCCGATTGCAATACTTTCCTTACCTAGTATTGGTAGGAAAGTAAGAAGTTAAAACATGTGTGAAAAATATAATAAGCTGTATCATCGCTAATACTGGTTCGATTCCGATGATTTTTTTTTTGTTTTGTCGGTAATTTAATTACCTTTCAAAAGTTTTATTATAAATTTTACCATATAATATATACTTAGGGAGTTAGGCCCCATAACATTTTCCCTTTCTTTATAACTTTTTCCTGATTTTTTTTTTGTAATCTAGTCTATATACGAAAATTGAAAGGACAATTATTAAAACATTATAGGAAAGTTTCATCAAAATCGTTAGAGCCATTTTCGCGCTACACTCTATAGAAAAAGATGTTTTTCATTTATTGCGAGCAAGCTATTGCGCATGGAGCATCGAATTTCTGTCGCAAGCATCAGTAGTCATAACCCTACAAAATAAAAGAAGAAGCAACAAAATCGGTTCAATGGCTAAAACTGTGTTTTTCGGACTGAAGGGGCTCTGAAACGTATAGATCCCTCGAAAACCGCATGTCGAAAATTGGACCCGATTGCAATACTTTCCTTACCTAGTATAGGCAGGAGAGTAAAAAATCTAACAGATAATTCAACTTTTTGATTATTAAAGAATCGTGCAATTGTGCAAAAATAGTAAAAAATTAAATTTCATAGTTTGGAGAGAGGAACTATGTACTATTGAGCCCACGACAAGACCACTACAGGCCGGCCTGGCTAGAAGCCACAAAGAGACCTGAGGCTAATCTAAACTTTGAAACTCTGACATGTATAAATGATATTTGATCTGGCGAGAGTGAGATTAAGTAAGACAGGAGATGTTGGCCGGAGGGAGATAGCCCGATTAGTTTAGATAATGCCCGGTAGGGAACGCCACTGGGAGGGACGTTATCCCGGCGACTCCTTTGTTTCGGATCTCATTGTTGTCCCGTCCTCAGAGCACTCGCCAAACAAAAGCAAGAGTGCCGAGAACCGTCCCATTGTGCAGTTCCTTTCTTCCGCTCCCCTCCTCCTCTCATAATAATGCTGTTTCTTACACCGCCCAGTCAGCCTATAATCGCCCCCTCCTAAACACCTGTACCGTTCCTCAGTCGCCGCTTATAGTTTCTTATCTTCCATGCCTCCTGGTCTTCGGCCCTATTAGCCGATCTACTGACGAGCCTCTCGTCACCTCGACCAGCTCTCTCGCCTTAACAAGCCTCCGCTCTTAGATGAATAGTCGCATCATGCACTCTAGGCGGACTGTGATTAAAACTCGTATATCTTGCCTCGCCATTATTGATCCTTTACGGTGTACCATTTATGGTTTTATATATTAAATTTTAATCTTATTTGCGCATTTAATTAAATTATTTAGATCGTGAAAAAGGATAATAACTAGATTTAAAATACTGTTTCTATATTATAAAATATATATATATATATTTTAATTATTTCTTAATGATATTTACAACTGTATTACTGAAATATACCTAGTAAATTTGAACATATGGATATAATTGAAACACTTGCTGAGTAACTACCCATTGGAAGCAATCTAATATGTCTACATTAGAAGATCACGGGGAAACTTCTTTTCAGACGCCTAGGAGGGTTATCAGGAATTGAAGAGGAAGCAAGGTTAGAAACGAGAGGGTTAGGGTGATTCTGAAGTTTATCATGAAAGGATAGGTATCTGGATTAGGCCAGAACTGAAACATATAAAACATTAAAGTCATTATGGATGGTTTTATTTGTAACAAAGTAGAGAGCACTGAGGATTTTTAGAAGGATTTTGGATTGTAAGGATTAGATAAGAGAGGAATTCGAAGGTTTAGTGGAGCCCCATAGCTCAACTCCGTAAGTCAAAATAGGCCTTATTATAGTCACGTATATAAGTTTTTTGTAATTAATTGGAAGTTTAGAGCGTTTGTCTAATAAATGCTGAAGTAATCGGAAACGTGGAGCTGTTTCTTGTCGTTTCAGTCTGGTTTGAGGTATTATAAAATATAAACTTAAACTAGTGAACTTGTACGTGGTTTGTTGTAAAGTTTGTCTAAAACTTCGTTAGTCACTTCATTTTATCGTAATCTACAACTTATTTTATTTACGAAAATTCATTATTACAAAATTGTAAAAAAAAGGTGCTTAAAAAAATATTGAGCTGTTCGGACTTCAGAACCTCTTTATTTTCACATGTTAGAGATGGAGGTCACGCCAAATGGCCCATTATTTTTGTAGGTCACATTTTTTCAGGATTTTTTAGATACAATTATCTTACAATTCAGCTAAGAGGAAATGAGTGCTCATGAGTTGTTATTACTTATCAAATTGACAAAACTACCGATCTCTATATTTAAAATCAAGTCACGTCTTTCAAAATTTCTTGGTGAGTGTTGATTGTTTTTATATTATTAATTGAGATGTCATTAATATACTATATATTTCTCGCTCTGTAAATTTCTGGAATTCCCTTCCTATCAAAATTCGGCATTCTCCCTCCCTATCTACATTTAAAACCGTCCTATTCCAATTTCTATCCCAAAAACAGTCAGACACCCCCCGCTAACCTTTTATGTAAATTTATATATTATTCAAAATGATTCACATAATGGTATATTTACTTATAATTCATGACTTAAATAATTAAAATCAGATTCGACTTCTTTTTTTTTTTTTTTTTTTTCTTTCTTCAGAAACACAGAGTCTAATGCTAGGAAGAATGTAATGCATTTTTTATTTTTAAAGTGTATAATTATGTTTTTGAGGTAACTGTACACAGTTTTAAGTATCTCGGCATAGTTTCAAGTGTTTTGTATTTAGATTTTTTTTATTTATTTTGTACATAGTATATTTAACTAATATTTTCTTTACTTTTTACTTTTTATGTTTGTTTTTACTTAGGCCAGATATAATACTTTAATTTTGTACTTTGTTGTTATTCTAAAGGGACTTAGTCCCAGAGTAAAATTATTTTTCTATTCTATTCTATTCTAATGTATAGTATATTTCGTCTCGATTCAGTATAGTAAATTACATAAACTATATTATACTCAATTTTGTATCCTTAGTTAATTCTGTTCGTAATTATTTCATTACTTGCTGGTAATTTTTTTCTCAGTATAGTTCTGTATATGATATCTTTTTTTTTCTGATCCCTCTAAAAGAGAACACATCAAATTAGAAATAAATCGTTAAAAAAAAACATAATGAAACAATATTTTGTTTTACTGAGACCTTTTTCTACCAGTTGGTACTTGAAGGCGTGCTGATTCTTTTGATGTTTGATATATATTGCTGTACAGGTATTTATTCTCTTTCTGCTTAAAAATGAATTAGAGAATTAATCTTCACGTTTTGCAACAGTATTTATAATTCTATTCGGGTAATTTTTAATCGATTTATAGGTTGGTTTACACATATGGCTAATCAGAAACTACTCAAACTGCTCAGCTAAAAAACTGTGGGTATTCGTTTAGGTAATGTATAATTATCCATATAGAAGTTCTGTGTAACATTTACATATTTTTGAACATCAACAATAAAACGTTACTAAAAGATTTTTAGGAGGCCAACAAAATTTTGCATATAAGCTTAAATTTGTCTAACTTCGAACTCTCTTAAATTATTCAATGCTTTCGGTGGCTTCTAAATATTTATTAGTTATGAACTTTTCTATACAGCTTTGTAAAGGCATTTTGAAAGCGGAAGACACCGCACAAATTAAGTTATTTTTAAATAATCAAAGACGTCTTGGTTATCCAACTTATTATTTATCAACCAGTGAGTGCTTTAGAGGAATATTCGCCACTGCGGAGCTGAAAAGCACCCTTTTTCTCCAGCTGCTATCACTTAGAAATGGTCGCTTTTTGTCCAACGCCCAAGTCTTTTGTGCCTGACACTACAGTTCCGCTATTTTTTTCAATTCAAGATCTTGACACCACAACAAGCGTTCCGGTCTCACTCTTAGAACAGTTGCCTCATTAACTTAACTCTTTTCTATTTAACGAATCATGTTTAAAACAAAAAAATTAAAAAAGGTCACATTTGAAAAACAAAAATAACGTTCTTTTGTAGAAAGGATTTGAAAAGGAGTTTAAAAAAGCAGGCACTCTTTTTGTAAGGCGCATTTCCTACACACTGACAAACGTTCCCATTCAATTCTTTTATATTTACCAAACTATTCAACCTTTTGGTAGCTTTGTGTGAAGAGGTTTAGAATTAATTCAAAGGGTACGGATGGGAAATCGGGAGGAGAGGAAGAATAGCCAGGTCTTTTGTGGGCGGAGTCATTTAGCCATAGGCCGGGAGTTAAGCTCTGTTGCCTCAGTCGGCTTTGGGCACATCTCTCTCATTCAAGGCGATCCATTGAGGCGTCGCTATTATATCTGTCTTCCGGTTTATATAACCTCTCCTCCACGGCGACCTATATTGAAATCTCCAAGGATCTTTGCTTCCGAAGTCCGGATTTTTTCCCGCTAGTTCCTCAGATTTGGGGGGAGGGAGGGAAGGGATTTCGAATGAGGAGAAACGCCCAAGGTAGGGTTCATTATGCCTCCCAGAAGCGACAAGCCTTTCCTGATGATACATGTTTTTGAAAAGGTCTCGTAGTAAGCTAGGTGCGTTTTTACTATGTCAATAGTAAATAATATTAAGTAAAAAAAACGAATTGCGGAATAGTAAACTCCTATAGAGTTTTCATACTTCATACAAAATAGATTTAAATTCACACAACATGAACAAAATTAAACCAATAAAATAAATAAAAACATAGAAAAAAATATTAGATTAAATATTTTATAGTTGACCGTTGCATTATCATGGAAGGAGATGGTCCGGGTTGGCGGTCATAAATAGGCTAATTAGTGGTAAAACTATTTTATTAAAAGCCAACGTAAGCTAACGTTTCTAGCTAAGTCAAACTCCTAGCTGAGCACACCTCCCTGAAGAAGACCTGCAAAGTCGGGTCGAAATGTTGGCTTTTAATAAAATAGTTTTACCACTATTTAGCCTATTTATGACCACCACCCCGGACCATTTCCTTCCTTTGAAAAATATTTGCAATAATAATCGAATAGCAGTTAGCAATTATATTTTTTTTCTGTTTACTCGTGAAAAATATTCTTCAAAACTATCTAAAAATTTATTGTCATTTAGGGAATGAGTTCTTCCACAACCATTTTTGTCTTCAAAGCTAAAATCCTCCTTTCAAAATTTTTTAAACTTTCCTTGAACGCTGCACTCACTCACACTGCCATTGCTTCAGAATAAATCAATATTCCTACCAGTTTAGGAACCGTTCTGAGTTAAACTTTTGAAAAATCAACTTTGATATTTTAGTGAAGAATGTACTATTTTAACGAGTGAATTGCTACAGAAGGAGAAAATCCTTTTTTAGGATTTAGGATATAATTTATATCCTAATAGCGACGCCTCAATTGATCGCCTTGAATGAGAAAGATGTGCCCAAAGTTGACACCCATATAAAAGAATAATAACATAAAGAAAACATGAACTCCATTGTTATTTTCCAGACAACCCAATAATTCAAAACATGGAAATTGGTAGGAAGGATTATTAACCTACAAAATTTTCGATCAAAACCAAGCTACACTTTCGAGCATCAAACTTTAGTCAATCCTATCGAACAAACGATACTCCCTAGATCGGAAGGCGCATGTGGCCTTCGTGGGGTAGCTGCCTACAATTTTTTGGGATAAATTTATTAATCTAGTGCTAGAATTAATTAATATTTAATTATTTAGGTTACAAAAATTTCAAAATGAATAGAATTAAGTTGAATATATGTAAACGGGTGTGTATTTAGTGACAAATAAATATAACCCCTTCCATCCTAATACTCATAGAAAAGTGAAACAGAAGTGGCCACAAACATCTTGTAAATGCGTTATTAAAATTCTGTTAATGGTCTGTTTCTCCAATCCAGTCTTAAAATCTAAGGTTAGTATCCACACCCTTACCGAGACGCGCCGAGAAATGAGAGTAAGAGAGAAGCGGCATCACATGGTCTCCTCATCATTCCCTCCACATATGACAGCTAAGACTTGCTTCGGAGTTCCGTTGGTTGAGTGTAAATGAGAAATATCCATACAAATTCAATAGACTATATACTTTTCTATATACTTGTCAATATACATTACTAAAATAAAAATATACGCAACTTGACAGATTCTAAATCTCATGTTTAATTTTCCTTAAAACTTTAATTAAA